TGACACGTACAATCAGAAGATGAATTCATGAGTGTAATAAGACCAGGTTGCGTTGGATAAATGTTCAGTGTTGCTTAAACTGTTTAAATACTTAATCGTAGTGAAATGTTAAAAAAAAATTAAATCCCAATAAATCATACTAAAGTGACAATGACAATATATAACAGCAGATAAAAGGCAGAAATATGATATATTTTCTTGAACTGGGCTAATCAATTGTGTGTAGACACTGCTGGTGGACTTTAAGTCTCTGGGTTTTGCCGTAACCTGCATGCCACAATTCTATTCATTTGAATAGTGACACATTTCAGAATCAATTCGTGCACTTTGAGTCGTTCTTAGATTATCAGATATGTGGAAATTACACAATGTATTGAATTATGGGACTATTGCAACTCCTCATTTAGATTTTGTCTTTTCTTTCGATGTATTGGAATTTTCCTGAGTCGCCAAAATGAACGGCTGTATGTTGTAGCTTATTTCATTGTCTGGTTCTAAGGCATCTCGATCTAAGGTTTATCAAAAGGTGTTATTTCATTGTGTGTCTTAAGTATACTCTTTCCAATGAATCGTTTACAATACACCCATCTCGGAAAATCAGCGGATCAGTATACAGCTATAGAATGTTTATAAGTTTATTATTTCTTTGTAGATCAAAGTTCCTCATTAAAATCTTATCTATCCATTTGAATTATCACTGTGATCGAACTTCAAAGACATGTTCACAATTCATAAGATTAACTTAACAAACTAGTCTGGAGTTCTATCATTACATCTGTATCAACAGCAGACTTTTGTTTTGATTAGGAGGGTTTATCAACAAGTATGTAGTATTTGTTTATCAAATTATGCTTTGTTTACATTTGTTGAAAATTCACAATAAAGAAATACAGTTTAATCTAACGACATCTTGTCTATCATTCTTCGAAGAATTATCTGTTTAAAGAGTCAAATGTAAACCTCAATCAAATGTGATTTTCTTTACCTGATGTAAGAACCACAATTGCATTATAAATAGAGGATCTTACATGAGTGTCAATGTATTATGGAATTTATTAAACGAGTTCAATAATTTGATATGCCACGAGCAACAGGACCGCCATCCGGAGCGGTCGTCTGCTGTTGGGAGGGATCTACCACCTTTTCAATACGATCGCGCTCAAGCTCAATTTGAAAGTCAATCCCACACAATTCAACATTATAAAATACAGCAAACCCCCGTGGGATTATCTCCTTCATCACACCAGTCCCCTTCTTATCAATAAAAACTGTGTCGCCAATGTTGATCTGGTCCGCCATATTTTACTACAGTTTGTTGTAGTAAATAAAAGTAGTACGCGCGCGGGCGTATGAATACATTCCCACGGTTTTGACCAATCAGTAGACCCCAAACCTTTATTACACATGTGTATTACCATTATTATGACATGGGCGTATGACATGGGAAAACGGGTCGGTTATGTGATAAATATCATGATGTGCTTACAGACATGTTATGTGATAATATTATCCTTGTCTGCAGACATGATCAGATTTCCAGCATACAGATTGTATAGAATTCGCTCTATAACGAAAGAGGTCTTACCTACCTACATATTTTCCAATTTTTCTAAAGAAAAAATAATACCTAATTATTGATTGCATTTAATACCATAAAATTTTGCAGAAAATGTTTATGGGTGTAATTAATTTATATAATTAATTTATATTGGCGACCTTTACTACCGATGAAGGGAAGGTGTGAACGACACACTTACTATAGTATTGAACAAAGTATTGATACTATTGTATTGAAGTATTCAAATAATCGAGTCAAGTATACAACGACCTCTGTGATTGGTCGGGGGTGGAGTTTAGACAACCTGAATAGTTGATCTGACACCCAATTTGTTCCGGTAGGCGGAGTTAATGTACACATCAGTTACATAACAATTACTAAGTAATCGCTGGAAAAATGTCCGACGACGGCAACAGTACGCAAAATTTTCTTCGACGAAATTATGTCCGATACGAACGATATGGGGAATCATGTTTTTGTACAAGGCGATGTGGTTGTGATGGATAATTGTGGATTCCATCACCATAGACAGGGAGAGCGCATTTTAAGAAATATGCTGAAAGAATATGGCGTGTCCCTGGTTTTTCAGCCGCCTTATTCCCCGGGATACAACGTAACTGAATATGTATTCAATGTCATGAGACAGAGGCTTCGGGCAAATACCCGACTTGTGTCAGAATTTCTGGAACTTGCAGTAGTAAATGCTCTAGATATTCCGCCCAACCAACTTCAAAGTTTTTTCACATGTTGCGGATATGTATAATTTTCGATGGAAAGATAAAAAATAAAATAAAAAATATATGGGACCACAGAATTCCTTTACTTTTTAATGCAGTATGAATTATCGGCATATATCAGGAGGTCCCAGGTAAATCGTAATTCTTTGTTACATTAATAGAGCTTGGGCTTAAACCGAAATATTTTGTTTTCAAAAAAAAAATAAATAAATAAAACTAGTACAGAATGACTATATGACTATATTCACTGTTAAGATGTTATGAATAGTGATTAACCTGTTGATATATATTTTGTACGTAAATTAGTTTAGTACTGACTTTCGTTTTCTCGTTGTACCATCGATGGAAAAGCAAGGTATCATTGGGTGTAGAACGAAACAAATGGGACAACCCAATTAGGTCTGATCTGAAGCCACCTGTGACTTGGACTCTTCCAATTAACCTCTCGCGACAGTCGAGTGTTTGTAAAATGCCGATGTCTGCACAGTATTTTTTCACCTGGCTCCACCCACAATCGATCTAGACTTGGCTCTGCCAATCAGAGAGCTTGTTGCATAAATTTAAGGAATTCGATTGGTGAAGTACTTCAGTACAATACTATCAATACTTTGTTCAGTAATACAGTACTTGAAACGTTCACACCTTCCCTTCATCGGTAGTAAATCACAAGAATCCATAGAAACAATGTTTTGCACCTGTGTTGTATAACATTCAACCACATATTTATAGAAACTTCCACCATACTCAGTATTATCAAATCCTGGTTACCGTCTCACACATGTGGAGTAAGCGGTATGTAAATTTTAGAGACTTCCAAATAGTTGTTACTAATCGTAAACGACTTATTTCATTCATATTCATTTACTTTCCTTTAAATACACTTTATACATTTTTTTCATTCAATTCACCACCGCTTCTAAACTGAGATTTTAATTTCTAGTTTTAATTTCTAAAGAAAGTTAAACGGCAGTATACAAATATATTATTTTGAACTTTACTGCAGCATATGTCACGAAAAAAAAACCGCCTAAAGCAAAGAGAAAATAACGAAGGAATCGGACCTGACAATCGTAAAATTTCTGGTAGTGAATAGGAATTCGGTAGTAAAATATTCCAGCAGACGAAAATAAACTACGTTCTACTTTTGGATGACTTTTCGGTTTGGTTTTCATACGAGTTTGAATTCATCAAAAAGGGTCGCAAGATTTTGTCCTCACATTCTTTGTAAGACATATTGATGATGTCATCTGTTTATCCAACGAGAAAATCATTAACTGGGAACATTGTGTAATTCATCCAGTTTTATTTCGATCTTTCCCTCTAACGAGATAAACACGGAAAGCTTTCCACCAACCTGTGTAATGAGTATGATTATATTGATTTCCCTTTGGTGATTTTCTTTCATGTGTAGATGTGTAGAAGAAAAGATAGTCAAACTCCTCTAAAGTCTCTGGTTTCTTTACAAAACTTATTCAATCCAAAGTAACATGTGTAAAGCTTAATGGTATATCAAGACGTTTATTTTTCTGAATCCTAAAGCTACAAAGACCTTTTGTGAGTGTAAACGTTATTTTACCTTTATACAGTTCGAAATGTATGGTCTGTTTAATGTTTGATAAAAACACCTTAAGGCTTCTAGTTTAGAATGTATCTGTACAAGCATATGGAGTATGTGTAACTGTTTAGGGTATATCTGTATTATTAGAGTAATTGTAGTACAATTTGAATTGTATTTTGTTTAAATTTAGTATAATACTCCATTACTTCTGAAATGTGAATATATCTTTGCAGATTGAACTACTTTCTCAGAAATTATCGCCCCTGTATGTTTTTATTTTATGCATGATGAAGACAGATCTCTTCATCGAAATAAAAGTATCGAGAATTCAATCGATATCGAGTATTTTGTATCAATTTTATTCAGTTTTGAAATTCAATATTCAACATGGTGTATAATTTAATTCAACAGTGATTAAGGCATACTATGTACAAATTAACGCCCGAAAGAATAAATATTGAAGTGACGTCATCAGTAACATCACGTGATACTGTCTCAGGGCGTCGTCAACACATGACGTCACATTAACGAGAAACACAACGAAAACACAACACTGATGATCGATAAATAGTTCACAATAAATGGTGTATTAGACAAAAGTCAACAGAAGTGTCTCTAAGATTTATGGATAATCTGGAGCCTGCTTTTACTCCATAAAGAGGATGGAATACTCTGAAAAAAAGAAGAGAGAAATGTCTTTGTATATGTATGTAAGGCATCATAACGAAATGTCAGTTTAAGATTTCAAAAATAAAATCCTGAAATCTTCATTCGAAAATCATTCATAAAGCATAAACATATATATTATCATAAAAATGTACATTATACTTCTTGAATACTCAATACTAACACAATATCTTACTTAGTGTCTCTCGGAATTTACCCAAATTACGTCCACTTCCTATCCTTTCCCGTCGCTTTTGGGATTCCTTGTGATCTTAATTAAGCAGTTTGCTTTTGACTTATCTACTCAGTATACTTTCTATCAACCTACAGAATGTGTTCCACTGTCCCATTCTTACTTCAGTTGACAATATCTCCGCCCCCTCGTACTAAATGGGAGGTCTCCTACAAACGGCCCATCTATACTTATCATTCAGAATTCAGTAAAGCGACCAACAAACATGGAATGAATCAGATAATCTACTCAGTCTGTACCTTTCCAGTCCAATCGTCGGTCTCCGTTGATATCTGCCCCCATGTAGTATCCATTGGCCGTCTCCTCAGCTTTCTCTTGGCTCATACCGATATTGCGCGCAATAGCAATTAGTTCATCTTTGGTGACGTAGCCATCCTGATCAGCGTCTTCGAGGTTGAACCATTCTCGGGCTGTCGTGGCGCTGTAGTTTGGTGTGGCCATCTCTGTTAGGTAGTCAGGAATGAAGTCTACCTCGCCATCACCTACAATACGTGAGAGAATTACGGCAACTGTGGACTGTTTTAGTGTTTCTAATAATATTGCCTCACTTTTTTCTGTAACTTTGTTTTATTCGAGAAATTCTTGATTCCCTGAACAGTGTTATGGAAGTTCCGGAAAACACGATAATTCATTTATATGTGAATATCGCACATAACTTTTTTTTACAAGCAACTGCCTAAATCGGATATCTATAATTACTTCCATGTCCGCGTAGGAAACGATTAAAGTTTAATGCATATAAACTGGAAAAATACATTCATCTGAAGAATTGATGTCGCAATTTTGATTATTGCATTTGAGTAAAGTAAATGATGAATCCTCATCATAGCCAACAGTTTCTCTATATATGGTTTGTTGAATTCTTGTTGAATTATGGTCTTCATTGTTCTTTGGACTCAAGCCCAAAGGTCAAACTCATAACCCTTTTTCTTTAATTGTGACAAACTTTGCTCCATTGCGTCACAATAAAATGTTCATCAATAAAAAACTTCAGAATTTGACCTTGACCGTTTGCACCTATTGGTTTTAACATTTGACCTTGTGATCTTGACTTTTGGTCAGTTATTTGAATTCCAACCAAGCTTTGGTTAACAATGTCACAGTAATATGGTCATCATAGAAAATATCCAAAATTTAGCAACTCCCCTTTGACTTTCGACCTAATGGCTAGTACTAATGCATAAATGGCTGTTAACTAAATTCATAGATACCTGGACAGAAGACAGATCTCATCGAATAAACGGACGGAGAAACTTTATCGTCTTAACATGTAGACACATATCGTTTGAATCCCACTGGGTTGGAAAGCACATTAACCTGACCTTCAGTGAACTTAACACCTTCACTAGTAATCGCTTACCGTTGATATCCCACTATCAATGATATTATCGTCTTCACAAGTAATACTTACCGATGGTATCACATCGGAGGAGGAAGCATGGATCTTATTCTTGTTTCACTGTTTCTTACCGTTCGTATCTTATCAAGGAGAAAGCTCCGGACCTGACCACCAGTAACCTTACTCTTGCTACTAGCTAAAGCTTGCTTTTAGTATTAAACCGGAGGAAGCTCCTGACTGGATCATCGATGCCTTTTTTGTTATTTGTTCAAACTTAACGTTGGTGTCCCGCCGGAGGAGGATGCTCCTGATCTGGTCGTCAGTGACCTTATTGTTATTTGTACACACTTACCATTGGTATCCCGCCGGATGAGGAAGCTCCTGACCTGGTCGTCAGTAACCTTATTGTTATTTGTACACACTTACCATTGGTATCCCTCCGGAGGAGGAAGCTCCTGACCTGGTCGCCAGTAACCTTATTGTTATTTGTACACACTTACCATTGGTATCCCGCCGGATGAGGAAGCTCCTGACCTGGTCGTCAGTGACCTTATTGTTATTTGTACACACTTACCATTGGGATCCCTCCGGAGGAGGAAGCTCCTGACCTGGTCGTCAGTAACCTTAATGTTATTAGTACACACTTACCATTGGTATCCCGCCGGAGGAGGAAGCTCCTGACCTGGTCGTCAGTGACCTTATTGTTGTACTTCTTGAGATAGCGTTTTATTTCCTCAAAGGAGGCTTTGCCGTCATTATTGTGGTCGATAAAGGTAGAAAACTGATCCTTGTATGCTGGGGACGGGAAAAAAGCGATTTATCGAACACATTATTGTAAAAATTACATCATTCTTGACGACAGATTACAATGAAAGTCTGTTTCAGAAATCTAATGTATATACTCCCATGTAGTCTCTTATTGGTAACTTTTTCTCGTAAGTACTGAAATTAAGCCTCTGCAGTAATTCTAAACAATTCTCAATATACAGATGTTACACTAAGGTTTGATAAACAAATCGAGACGTTTGAAATATGTTGAAATTTACGATTAAATCAATATCGAGGTCTTACGTAAGAGTTGTCTTTCTTTACTGTGTTCAGTGATTGTTATTATTGTGTGTCTTATTTTGAGGGGAGACGATATACTACATACAGACATTGGCTTATGGGAACACCGACTGAGGTATGAAACATGTATCTCAGAAATGATAGAATGCTGCTACATGTTAAACACATTCTGTATACTCATCATTCATATACATTGAGAGGAAAAAGAAACACAAATAGCAGAAAGTTAATATTGTAAATTAGATCCTTGACGTACACCCTTGAAACTTGACAAATGTGTGCATTTGAGTTAGGTCCCTATGGTACCGTATTAAAATCACTGATGCATAACTAAACTGCGCACGCCGCGTGTACAAAAGAATATGAGACAAAAGCACGATATCTCGAACCCCGTATAAAGGATTGGTTCAAAACCTGTGTGTGCGAATCTTCAGACATATCCGTCTTGATTTCCCACATTTTACGCATAAACAGCTCACCGTAAAAATGCCACGACTGTCCGAAGTTGACAGGGGTCGTGCCATTGCACTTCTTATTCAAGGTACCCCACAAAATCAGGTCGCTAATCAATTTGGAGTTCATCCATCGAACATTTACCGTCTCATCCAAAGACTATATGCCACCGGAAGGGTTGCAGACCGTTCCCGAAGCGGTCGCCCTCGTGTGACGACGCGTCGGCAGGATAGGGCAATGCGACTTTCGCACCTACACAATAGCTTTCTGACGGCCACGGAAACAGCAAGGAACACAATTGGGCGTCATCATGTCCCAATTGATCCAAAGACAGTGCGTACTCGACTGCGTTCCTTCGGTCTAAGACCGAGGCGGCCATATGTTGGACCACAGCTTAATGCAATGGCTGAACGCAAATTCCGTAAAACGCTTCCCAATGCAACGTTGGAGAAGGGTCCTGTTCTCAGATGAGTTCAGGTTTTCGCTTTACATGGCAGACGGCTGACGTCGTGTCTATAGACGTACCCACGAGCGCTATTCAGATGCTTGCGTGATAGATAATGACCGCTTTGGAGGAGGATCGGTCATGGTATGGGGAGGGATTGCGCATGGTATCAAGACTCCTCTGGTCGTTATTCAGGGAAATCTCACGGCCGTCTGCTATAGAGATCAAGTCCTAGCGCCGCATGTTGTTCCTCTAGTACAGCAGCGTCAACTAACGTTTCAGCAGGACAACGCTCGGCCGCATGTAGCGAGGGTATGCCGTGGTTATCTCGCAGCAAACAATGTCCCCACCCTAGACTGGCCCTGACCTCTCCCCAATAGAACATTTATGGGACGAGTTGGACAGAAGGATAAGACGTAGGCCGAATCCTCCAATCAACGTCGCTCAGTTGGCGCTGGATGAGGAATGGAATCGTATACCACTGAGAAAGGGTTAATACCCCGATCAGTTCAATGCACAAAAGAGTTCGTGCAGTTACTGCAGCTCGCGGGGGACACACACGATATTGATGGGTCCAGAACGCACTTCATTTTGATGCGGCTACTCTTGAATCAACGTCAAATTTGGAAGGTTTACTTAACGTACACGAATGAAATTCTCGTAGATGACAGAGTGGTCAACTATCTTCCAGTTACACCATAATTACATTCTAAAACCCTTTTCTATTTCCCGTATATGACATGGAAATTCCTAATTGCGTTTCTTTTACCTTTCAGTATACATTTCAATACCGATGCGATATGTGCAAATCCTCTCGAAAATCTTAATCATAAAACAGCATTAATTGATCTCTATACAATTTGCTTAGGAATGTTGAGAGGTTATGGAATTGTATGGTTGACTGCCTATTGACTACATATGGAAAATGAAGCTGAGAATTGAAGAACGTACTTCAAAGGGTATTCAGTCTTTCATTGTGTTATATAGAACTAAATCATAGTAACCAATATTCACCTTCCAGCTGATCAAGACCGAAGCAAATCTGGAACAAAAAATGACAGGTTCGTACATCATATGTTACTATGGTCGGAACATCATATTGCCGAAGACAAAATTATGTTGCACTGACATAACAGTTATGTAAAAAAATACACATGTAAATATTACCTTTCTGTAATATTTGTAAATAAGTAATGATGTCTATATGGCGTGATTTTATTACTGAAGGTTTTAAAGTCAGAATTACGATTGATGGTGCGTGAATAAAAGCAGTGTAGTTAAAGGTGAACCACGGGAACAGCTAGGTGTGCAAGAAAACATGAAAATAAAGATATGTCCTACTGTTGCATAGGATTAACTGATGGAAAGATGGGCATGAATCGTTGTACATATCTGACAAACGATGGGGAATATTGGTGCCAGATCGAGTCTTGCATACCTGGTTGACGGAAGGAAAGGAGGCGGCAGCTTCTGGACCATGTTCTTGTCGCTTACGTAACTTTTCCAAACCTTTGAGGACGCCATTGTTGAACAGGTTGGTCAAGGTAGTGGCCATGGTCTGTTGGAGGATAACCAAGGTTACCACTACTGTCCAATATATCCACGTCTGCATCTTGTTTTATACGTCTGCAAATAAAACAAACTCATTAGTAGTTAAGAGTTTCTTCAATTGTGGAATCGTCATGTCAAGAATATTTAAGTTGTTTTATATATAACACGTTATCAGTTTCGGATAGTTCGGTGAATTTAATCGTGTTGTAGAAAAACACTTCGAACATAATTTCAATATTTTTTAAGTAAAGGGCAGCATAAGTCAATAAAAAAAACAAGAAAATACCAACATGTCAATGTAATCATCATTTAAACTCACATTCAATCAAACTGGGGTAAAACATGAACATATAAAGATTAACACAGAGACTCCTGCAAAATTACATTGAAAATAAGACCAAGTGTTTTGTAAGAGTAGACGTCTTCTGCCTCATCACTTCTGCTATGACTTCCGCCATGTAAATCTTGGTCAATCCAATGTAATGTTCTTAAATGAGGAATAGAGGACATGACGTGACAAGGTTAAAACAACCTAGTCTTATTCTGTATCTGTCTTCTGTTATCAGATCGAAACAATTTAGTCTTACTCTGTATCTGTCTTCTGTTACCAGATAAAAACAACTAGTCTTACTATGTATCTGTCTTCTGTTACCAGATAAAAACAACTAGTCTTACTATGTATCTGTCTTCTGTTACCAGATAAAAACAACTAGTCTTACTATGTATCTGTCTTCTGTTACCAGATAAAAACAACTAGTCTTACTATGTATCTGTCTTCTGTTACCAGATAAAAACAACTAGTCTTACTATGTATCTGTCTTCTGTTACCAGATAAAAACAACTAGTCTTACTATGTATCTGTCTTCTGTTACCAGATCAGAACAATTAAGTCTTACTCTGTATCTGTCTTCTGTATTTATTTGATCTTGTGTAGGTTACATTGAACGCTTTGGAATCACTAATTCAACAGAAGCATTAACAAGGAAACACCTCTGCTTTGAATATGTATGTAAATGTACTCATAAAATTATAAAATTGGGTATACTGCATTCTATCCAAAGTCAGACTTTTGAAGAGGAACTGAATCATTTAAACGTAGACAAACGTTTGAAAATGTTTGAAAGAGTGAATTGCTGTTAGTTCTTACGATTGTGTTAGAAGAAATGATGTTCCAACTGGACGATGAATTTCAGACCAGGCAGAGATGTCTTCATTTTGGAAAATTTAGCAGTTCAGCATAGCGAATGTTCAGAAGTAAAAGTACTTACAAGCACGGATCAATCTCGTTGTGTACTTCAAAGTTTTACATGTTTGATGCCTTTTTTTATATATTTTATCCTCGTTTTATCGGCTTTCATGTTCCAATTGAGATGATTGCACTTTCTTTGACACTTTTTCTCAATTTACAGAAATCACCACGTATGTTGAATACTGACGTGAATTGGTTAAAAGCCATGTCATATAATTACCATAGTTGCTAAAGAGTAATAAACTTGTATTCTTTTTATGTTTGAAATAATCATAACAGCTGAGTTCGAGATTCTGTGTTTTTAATTGTTTTTTAAATTATTTTACCTATGTTTCATATCCGATTTTGCATCTTTAGAATAACACATTCATGTAGCTTTAAAAACAAGTACTAACATGTCAACATATTCAAAATCCAAACTCAAACTCAATAAAACCTTAGCAACATTTGAACAAAAGTTAGATTTACATTGAGACTCTTGAAAAAGTACAAGGAGAATATGACAAGGTGTTCCTGAGGAATAAGCGTATTCTGTTTCTTCGACGACATCCGCCATGTGAATTATAGTCAATCAAAGTAAGTAATACACGTTTTTAGATAAGAACAACATATACAACAACGTTACCAACAGGAAAATTAACGAGCATCAAACACATCCAATTTCAAATCGCAAAATGAAATATTGTATTTCCAAATGAGATCTCTTTGACGACCGTAAAACTTTAGATATTTTCATTAAGATTTTTCCTGTGTTAAAATTTTGTTAGGTAGCCACCTCTTGCACGGATATCGTAATAAAAGGAACAAAGCCTTGATATTATGAAGTAAGAACTGTGAAAAAAGAGATTTGAATAGATCAAGAACTTTAATTTAACTTGATATCAAATTGCATCGTCTTATATGGAAAGTCGTTGTCGAAAACACAAAGTGTGAAAAGTGTGTGTTTTTTTTTTTTTTTTTTTTTTTGTTATTCTGACTAAGAACCGTTTTACTTTAAGCACTACTCTCTGAGGGAAGATTTCTTTCACAACCATAAATAAACTACAGTGAAATATGACTTACATCATAACAGTTGTAATCGGTTATAGCAAAACGTCACTCCGAAATAGCAGACTCGCCGATTCATTATCAACTCTGTGTGATACAGTCCCTGCCCGTCGGGCCATCCGACACCTGCTGAGATGGACTGACCTCGGGGGTGGAGACAAGTAACGTACGTGATATTGGCTAGGTGAAAGAAAACATTCACATACGAAGTAGCTAAAAAAAGACCACAAAGAGAATCGATGATTTTTTCTGACAATGGCTACCGACATTTGATCTTAAGAAAGAACCACAATGCGTGCATTGTCTTTTTTTTTCTAATCGTATTTTCCCATTACATTAAGGTGTTACGTGAGTCTGGGCAGGTGAGACTTATTGATGACGTCATGTTGACTATTTACGGTGAAGTTTACGCTGTTACAGAGAATACCGAGACACAGTTCGCCCTCTATGATCACTTTTAGCATTGTTTTGTCCAAATATGTATTATGATATCAACACTAGTCACATATATCAGTTAAACACGCAATTCATTTCACTCTTGGCTCTGATACTGTATATCCTTGTGGAATGCTTAAACATTGAAAGTTTTATGCCAGACATGCAAGTTTTCGGGAAACTTCGATGATATTTTGCAATGGGATCCCTAGATATATAGCCGTTAGGCATGCAGTTAAATGCAAATAATAGAGAGGATGTAATCAGAACCAACTGGATAAGCAATGGCAAACGGCTTCTTTATTTAAAAACTTTACAAACAAGATTTACATGATAACGTTCTGAATATTTTATAATTGTGTATCGTACACATGTCCAAATATGACCTTTTATTTACGGCTCCCATAATTGATATAACCAATAGATTGCCTTATTTTTTTCCAATATGAAAAATCAAAAATATAATTAAATCTGAAATTATAATTTCGGACTTTCATTATTTTAAAATCAAAAATCTCATATATTTGTTCTTCAAATTTCTGTAGACAATAAATATGAGTGTTGGCATCTTTCATTTTCAAGGGTGCAATGGTAAAAGGTCACGTACTTCCCTGTGAATTTAACAGACGAATATACTTTATGCTGAATCGACGTTTTTATAGTCATATAAAAATATACACACAAATATGGAGAAGTCTAAAACACTATTACTGGCAAATCACGGGAAGATTCTCTAGCTTTGGTAAACAGCTCGGTTGGCAATAAATATCTGTATAGAGGCACAATATGTTTAGGCTCTGATTCATAGAGGAAAAATCACTTGTTTGATGTTCTGACATTATACAACCCGACGTTGTCAAATTACTACAAAAGATACGTTATCGCATTCGAGAACTTGCACTCTGCACATGATATAGTGGACAATAGGACTTGATTTATACTGTCTATGGGTGTATTTAAGGAAGGTTAAACAGGCCTACGAATCTTGTCTATATACGTGGATTGTCTGTCTAACATAACTAATACTTTGTTGTGTGATGTTTTATGGGATGCAGTTATTGTATTCAAACTCTTATTTGTAGTTGACATATTGTGGTTGAGCGCCTAATGAACTTGCCCAACAACGTATGCCTCACCGTCTACTTACATTTGTCATTCACACAGGAGACGGTTTTTTCCGCTTCTTTTTTTAGCAAAATTTCATTTTAAATGTTGTTAGTCGATCTGTTGACTTATCTTTATTCTTACTTCGTGTGTCAAGGTAGAAATACTGCCGTTGTCTGTTGATCCATACATCGGGAGTAGTGATTAGTGGAAAATAAGGACTTCTTTAATTGACGAAGGCAGTGAATGAAGCGGAGAAGAAATACCCTTTCGAGACACCAAGTTTGGCTCCACATAAACGTTTTTTTCTAGTGGCGTTCATTAAATCTTACGTTTGTTAAATTGTTGCAAGATGGACTCAATATCATTGTTTATCTCTACTGCATCTAACTCTACATTAGTATTTTAGGGTGCTGTTTAATGTATGTCTATTGTACCATCTTCCAACGTACAGATGGTAGACATTGTTGGTGGACGTATAGTCCCCGAGGTTTGCCGTTCATTCGGATAATAACACGGTTCAGAATGAAAAACTATTGAACTATAGGGCTACTGCGTCTTTTCATTTAGATTTTGGCAGTTATTTCGATCACAATTAATTTTCCTTCGTCGCCGGTAAGGCTTCAAAATTTAGTCCTTTAGCATCACTCAAGCGTCATAGAAGGATGGACCAGATTTGAGACACAGTTTAAGTACTTTTTGGCCTTGCTGTATTTAAAACAAATATATAGAAGTTTGAATTCAAAGTTGCCCTTTACGTTTGGGTCTTTTGTAAAGAAATTAATCAAAGTTATCATAGCTTATGATGGTATAGTTACTACTATATACATTTATCAAGTTATTATATCTTATGATGGTTGAAAAATTGCTATATATATTTATCAAGTTATTATAGTTTATGATGGTAAAGCTAATATTTTATACATTGATCAAGTTTTAATAATTTGTACTGATGCAGATAGACAGGTACATTTACAGTAAAGTTCATACTTAATTAAATTCAATACTGTATATTGTACATTAAACTTGCATAGAAATTATTGGGTTTTTTTGTGTGTAACTTTTCTTATTTTGACCTCCTCGTGTGTTCTATTAGTCCCAATGTGTTCTCGTTTTAATTCTATCACATACATTTTTCTTCTTTCGATTCTGCGTCATGTATTCATTGCAGGGTAATACATGAATGTTTCAGTGATGCTGACGTAATTCAAATTATGTATAACTGA